CAGCAGCAGCAGCACCAGCAGCAGCAGCAGCGGCAGCAGCAACAGCAGCGTCAATGCCTTAACTCTCTTCAGCAGCAAGACACAGCGGCGAAGGAGCCTCTGGTGCTGCTGTGCATGCGGTTTGTTGTGAGGCATGCCTCGCAGCAGCAAAGCCCCCACTACAGCAGCAGCAGCAGCAGCAGCAGCAACAGCCCCCTCGCAACAAGCTTTGCTGCTTTGGGGCTTCACGAAGGTCTGCTGTTTTTGCTGCCGCCGCCCCCTTTCCGGTCGTTTTTGCCGCTGCAGCAGGAGCTGCTGCAGCAGGTGACGCAAGGTGCTGCAGCAGCAGATAGGGACTCAGCTGCAGCGCGGCGCTGCCGCCAGCTGCAGCTGCTGCGGGCCGAGGCAGCATCTGGAGCATCACTGCAGCAGCCCCTTTTGTTTTTTCGAGTCCGCAGCAGCAGCAGCAGCAACAGTTGCAACTGCCTGTTGCTGCACCCTGAGGTTGTTGCCCTGCTGCTTAGCTGCAGCAGCACGCTGCAGCAGGAAGCTGCCGCGGCTGCAGCCGCAGCTGCTGCTGCGTCAGCAGCAGTGGCTGCTGCTGCTGCTGCTGCAACGAGCCCAGCAGCAGCTCTCTCCACCCAAGCAAACGGGAGCCCCCGGAGCCGACTTGGCCGCTACGCTAGCAGGAACAGCAGCAGCAGCAGCACGGGCAGCAGCAGACGCGGAACGACTGCAGCAGCAGCAGCAGCCGCTGCAGCGAGCAGGCTGTGGCCTTTGCTGCTGCTGAACCCCGTAGCTGACTGCCAGCTTCCTGAGTTGCTACTGTGCCTCTGCAAGTCTCCCGGCGGCGCAGCAGCAACAGAAGCAGCAGCAGCAGCAGCAGTTGATGACAGCAAGCTGCTGTGTCTGCTGCTGCCGAGCATCATCTGGGAAGGACGCTTGCTGCGCTGTGGGGCCCTGCGCGTGTGGGGGCGCCAGCCGCTGCTGCAGCAGCAGCGAGGGCAAGAAGAGCAGCAGCAGCAGCAGCAGCAGCAGCAACCAGACAGCAACCAACAGCAGCAGCCAGAGCGGTGGCAGCAACGCGCCGAAATTGGGCCGCTGTTAGTGCAGCTGAGCACTCTGAGCTGCTGCTGGTCATCAGATCGCAGCAGTTGTCGTGAGGAGGCAGCAGCAGCAGCAGCAGCAGCAGCGCCTGCTGCTGCCACAGCGACGACGCTTCGGGTTGTGCTGCAGTGGGAAAAGGAGCTGCTACTGCATGCAGCAGAAGCAGATGCTGCTAACCTCCTGCTTTGGTGGCAGCAGCTGCGCAGCAAATGGACCCTTGCGGGCCCTACGGAGGAGGAGAAACAGCAGCAGCAGCAGCAAAGTACGTGCAGCGAGAGCACGGGCCAGTGCGCCGTAGCTGGAGACAGCAGCTGCCGCGGAGGCAGCAGCAGCAGCAGTAGCAACAGCAGCACTTTGTGGCAGCAGATCGGGGTGGAGGCAACCAGCGTCTTTGCTGTTCAGTTGCTAGTGTCTCAACAGCAGCAGCAGCAGCAGCAGCAGGCATGGGGCTTGACCCTGGGACTTGGCAGGGCACAGTTGGAGCTCTACAAGCCCCCAAAGTCCTTCAGCAGCAGCAGCAGCGGCAGCAGCAGCAGCAGCAACAGCAGCAGTATGCCCACGCTGCTCAGTGGCTGGCGCCTGCGTCTGAGTCGTCCGTACGCTGCACTTTTGCAGCCGCAGCAGCAGCAGCAGCAGCAGCAACCGCAGCAGCAGCAGCAGCTGCTGCTGCTGCTACAGCAGCATGCCCACCGGCAAGTCTTCGGCGTGTTCGCTGCATCCGCAGACGCCGCTGCTGCTGCTGCTGTCACGAAAGACGCAGCAGCAGCGACTGGGGCGCTGCTGCTGCATGCAGAAGAAGAAGTGACGGCCCCTCAGTTCAGCAGCACTTCCTTGCCTATTGTTTCTGTTGCGTCTGCGTCTGCCGTCAGCAGCAGCAGCAGCAGCAGCAGCAGCAGCACCGAAAGCAGCACCTGCTCCAGCAGCTGGTGGCTTGCCGTGTCTGCTGAACACAGGAAAGGCCTTGCGGCGATTCACAAGTGCCCGCAGCAGCAGCAGCAGCAGCAACAGCAGCAGCAGCAGCAGCAGCAGCAAGACAGACATGCTTCCAGTTGGTGTCTCCTCGATGGAGAAGCGGTGTTGCAGCAGACATCGTGGGGAGTTGTGCTGCTGCCAGTAACATTGCAGCTGCCTGCAATTGCTGCTGCTGCAGTCTGCTCAATCCTGGGCTCTTTTGCAGCAGCCGCGGCTGCTGCTGCTGCAGCTGCTGCTGCTGTGGCGCCTCCAGGACTGGATGCTGTCAAGATACTTTCTGTGGAGCTCCTGAGGCAGAGGCAGCAGCTCCAGACAGCGGGAGCCGCGGCTACTAATGCTGCTGCTGCTGCTGCTGGCGTTGCTGCAACAGCTGCAGCAGCTGCAGCAGCTGAAATGCACGCGGAGCTGCCGCTGCTGCAACGCAGCAGCTGGGAAGTCCGCTGTGGCAACTTGGCTCTTCACTTGCCTGTTTCTTCTGCAGCAGCAGGAAACGAGGAAGAAACCGCAGCAGCAGCAGCAGCAGCGAACCCAGAGGCAGCAGCAGGAAGCCTGGTGGTCACGGTGGCGGACTTTTTTGCATCTGTCGTTTCCCTCCGTGCGTACCATCAGCAGCTGCAGCGGCAGCAACAGCAAGACGGTCACATGGTCCAGCAGCAGGAGCTGCTGCTGCTGGCAAACGTCAGTGCTGCTGCTTCAGCTCCAGCAGCAACAGCAGCAGCAGAAACGGGAGCAGCAGAAACGCTCTTTAGCTGCTGTGATCGGCTATTCATACACCCCGTCAGTCTTCGCATTCATAAGTCAGAGAAGAGCAGCAGCCGCAGCAACAGCAGCAGCAGCAGAAGCAACAGGCTCGAAGAGTGCTGCTGCTGCACTGCACTGCTGCGATCTTGCTGCTGCGACGCTTGCGGCAGGTGCAGCCACGTCTTAGGAGAGTTTGCCTGTGGGACCCACAGGCCGCTGCAGTGCGAGCAGCAGCAGCAGCAGCAGCAGCAGCAGCAGCAACTATTGCAAGTCTCTCGAAGGCTCCCCCTTGGCTGCCGTTTGCATGCGCATGCCTCTGCAGTGTACGTGGACCTCAGTGACCAGGCAGTGCTGCTGCTTTTGCTGCAGCTGCTGCATCAGATCCGGCGGCATGTTGCAGCAGTAACAGCAGCAGCAGCAGCAGCTGCTGCTGCTGCTGCATGCGCTGTTTCCGTACCTGATAGCAGCGATATTGCTTCGACCATTGTGCTTGAAGGCGATGTGCAGCAACAGCAGCAGCAGCAGCAGCAGCAGGCACAACAGCTTCAGCAGCATGAGCAGCAGCAGCACATACAGCAGCTGCAACGACAAGAGCAGCAGCAGGAACTGCTTCTGCAAGCAGATGCACTGGAAGTGCTGGTGGCCTCCCCCTGTGCAGCAGCAACAGCAGCAGGTGCTGCAGTATCAGCAGCAGCAGCAGGTTACAAGGAAAGCGCTGCTGCCGCTCGTGTTGATTTGCTGTGGTGTGGAGACGCCGTGTCAACAGCCTGCAGCAGCAGCAACTCCAGCAGCAGTAGCCACAGCCGCAGCAGCAGCTGCGGTCTATGTAGGAGCACCAGACGCTCAGGCAGAAGGCCAGCAGCAACAGCAGCAGCAACAGCAGCAGCAGGTGCAGACAGCTCTGCAGCGGACACAGCAGCTGCAGCAGCAGCAGAACAGGAGAAAAGGGAGCCTTTGGCCCAGCTGCTGCAGCGAGTGGCAGCTGACCGAATTTGCATGCGTCGTTTGCTGCTGCGTAATGGGGTTCAGCTTCCTGTTGCTGCTGTTGCTGCTTCTGCTGCTGCTGCCGTTGATGACTGCGCGCCAATCGCTTTGAGAGCTGTGGGGCTGCAGCTGCAGCAAAGCAGCAGCAGCAGCAGCAGCAGCAGCAGTAGAAGCAGCAATTACAGAAGCTGCAGCACACGTTTTTCCCTGCAAACTCTTGTGCTGCAGCTGGCTAGATCCGCTCTGGTGTCTGTACATCCAGCAGCAGCAGCAGCAAGTGCGACAAAGAAGAAGCAAAGGAAACAACAGCAACAGCCGCAGCAGCAGCAGATGCCATACGGCATTGAGGTGACGTGGACGGTAGCTGGCGGCCCAGAGACAGCAACAGCAGCAGCAGCAGCAACAACAACAGCAGCAGCGGCAGCTCAGCGGACAGTTTGCCTCAACAGCGTGGCCCTCGTGCTGCATCCGCATGCAGCACAGCAGCAGCTGCTACAGCTATCCAAGAGTCGCATTTTGCTGCTGCTGCAGCGAGCTTTCGAACCAATAGATCTGGACAAGGCAAAGCAGCAAGAGCACCGAAAGCAGCAGCAGCAAAGACTGGAGCAGCAGCAGCAGCAGCAAAGACAGCAGTGCCACCAGAAGGTGGACAAGTTCTTCATAGATTTCCTGCTGCTGCATGCAGCAGAAGGCAGCAGCAGCAGGGATCTCAGGGCTCTGCGGCTGCTGCTGCACCAGGGGGCTGCAGTTATTTGGCCTCCACAGGAGCAGCAGCAACAACAGCGCCAGCTGGAAGAGACGAAGCAAGTGCAGCAGCTGCAGGAAAAGCAGCAGAAGGAAGAGCAGCAGCAGCAGCAGCATCACGCGATAGAGCTGTGCGAGCTGCAGCGACGGGAGCACCCACTCGCTGCGTATATGTGCAAGCCATCTGCTGCAGCAGCAGCAGCAGCAGCAGGCAGCAGCAGCTCGCGCACCGTAGACGTTATTGCTGCTGCTGTGTCGCTTTGCTGCTGGACTGCAGCAGCACCGCAGCAGCACCTACCGCTGCTGCCGCCAGTGCGGCTGAGTGGCACGGTGTCTATACACCAAAATAAGGCTCTGGCAGCAGCAGCAGCAGCAGCAGCAGCAATGGGATATCTGCCCGTTGCTGCTGCTGGGGAGGGTGCAGCAGCAGCAGCTGCTGCCCAGCTTGCATGCACTTGCCTGCGGCGTCTGTACACCTCAGCGGGCCTAAGCCTTCATCAGGCCTCACCAGTTAGTGGGCAAGCAGCAGCAACAGCAGCAGCAGCAACAGCAGCAGCAGCAACAGCAACAGCAGCAACAGCAACAGCAGCAGCAGCAACAGCAGGGACAGCAGCGGTTGCAGTGGCTGATGATGACGCTGCTGCTGCTGCTGTTTCATACACAGAAGGGGCTGCTGAGTTTCAAGTATCTCCCGTGCTGCTGCGTCTGTCTCCTTGGAAGCTGCAGCTGCTGCTGCAGACTATAGCTGGGGTAAGAGACATGGCTGCTGCTGCTGGTGCTATTGGCACTGCAGCTGCTGCTTCCGTGCCCATGGAAAAAGAGACTGGTGCTGCTGCTGCACCAGAAGGAGCAGCAGCAAAGGCCGCAGCAACAGCAAATACAGCAACAGCTGCGAAGCCCGCAGACTGGCAGCTGCTTCCTTTCAAACTCCCGCTGCAGCAGCCTGGCTCAGC